CTTTATGGCATAATTATGGCTTATGTGCCCGGTTGTTGGCACATAGCCGCTTTATTGTTTTAATCAATTTTTAATAATTAACAAGAAAAATTATTAATTAATAACTATATAACATTTATCTTTAATTTTATCATGCTTGAGGAGGAACCAGATAACCTGAGGGTGAACAAGATGACCAAGACTCGACGCATTCTTCCACCATCGGCAAACAATCTTCTGTCTGCTCCCGTCGTTGAACCTTACAACCCATCCTTCTTGTCGTTTTTTATTTACTGACAAATCCCCAGAAGTAAATGGCGGCCAGTTTGGAGTGACTGACTCTTCACTGTGTTCAATTCCACCACAGTACCACAATACTTCTGAATACGGACCAGTAATCCGTGGTGTTACCATGAAGAATCCGATGGTTCTAGCACAATCCAACACTTCTTCGTAAGGTAACTCATGACCACTTTCATCAGTGATAGCAAGCAAGACAAGACCTTCAAATAGATAGTTGACAACCACGGTGTTGTTCAGGAAGATAATTTCAAAGAGGTACGTGTATCCTGCTTGAAACTCGGTCAGATTACAGTGATCTTTGATCCATTGTTTCGCCCACATTGCTTGGTCTGAATCCAGTTGTTGTCCACTTGTCACCATCACTTCGTCTTTCCACAAGAATGCAATACCAAGTGATCCATCAAATTTTATTGTAGCTTCCACCATTTCTTCAGGATCGCGATTACTCGCATCTACAAAGTAGAAACGAGTTATTTATAACATATACCTGTATCCAAAGTCGGTATGTTCAAATAGACCATTTTACAAAATCACAATAGTTTGAAAACATCGAGGCATCTGTCAAAGACGATTAATAACCTTAAAAAAGACCTAGTTTAATCAAAATGAAAAGACCACTAGAGTTGTCTACTCATCGGAACAGTATCGAGGATCTTCTGTCATTTTTATGTTCGACAACAAAAAAGCTTGACGAAAACCTTCGCTTTTCTGGTCTATTTTGAATAGTTTTTATTACCTTTTTTCATCCGAAATTTTTGTTTAATTGTTTGTTTTGCGCTCCTTCGCCCGCCGAATTGAAGCAATGAAAACATTGCAAAGGCAAAAGTTTGCGACATGATGACACTGACTACATGTTACAAGAATTTCAATATTGACCTTTTGAACGAACTGGAAACGAACTTTCCTTTTCCGGTCGCGTCCTCCTCCCCAAACACCCCTGCGCGCTTGCCCTGATCTGTATATAGTAGCTTAGCGCGATTATATTTTTCCTTCTAAAGCGCCTGGGTACGAGGCAGGAAATAGGCTGTTTGCGATTGGTTCGATTTTGCAATTATTATTATTATTATTATTTTATCTTCTTTAAAAACAACGGTAGCCGTTCAGCATAGATACGAGCTGTTTTCCAAGAGGCCGTTGCACAATACATATTTACAAAAATAGTTTGGGTTAATAATTACAATTAGTATATAGTTACAAATTACACATTACACATTACACATTACACATTACACATTATATATTACACATTACATATTACACAGTACACCACATAATATGATAAGACTTAAGTATTATGTTGTGGTCTGTCCCGAAGCAAGGTTTTAAATGCGTTTAATGACAAGCAATTGCTTTTCAGTTCTATTGGTAATTGCTGTTCCCAAGAACTTGTTGCTGGATTCCAACGACGTCACATATTGCCTTCGTTATGTTGTTTTTTCTTAATTTTTGTGCTGCAAAGACATTGCAGGTGAATATTAGAGGGGATTATTAAACGGAAATTGATTAGAGGGGAATATTGGATATATTCCCCGCTAAGAACAAAGGAAACCGAGCAGGGTGAAAAATAAGCACATATATACATGATCGGGGGTGGTAGAGGAATATTTTAAATATTTAATTTTCATACCTCTAAAATTGATCGGCCTTAAAAATTCCTAAAAAAAATTGCATGTGATTTGTCAGCTAAGATTCATGGGGGCAAGGCGTAGGCTATGTCTATCAGCTATCAGTTTTATGATCTCAATTCCATATTGCTGTTTAATATTTTGTGAGTTGTGAGGTTTTTGTAACTGAGCAAGCTATTTAGTATCAGAGGTACAAGCTCCTTCATTCATGCACGGTCATGATTTTCTGTCAGTGGTTTGCCATGCATGTCTTGATAATGAATAATGAGAGAGAGACACGGTACGATTTAAAAAACATTCTTTAATCTTGAAAATTAATTATACAATTAAAAGAACTCGAATTAAATATATACCATTCATCCGAGCCAGGCATAGGCGTTAATTAAGAGTATACGATTTAAATAATCTCTATAGTTAACAATGATAAAAATCTATATTACAATAATAAACTAATATATAAGCTATACTACATACAAATAAGAGAAATATATTCATACACAAAACATGAAGATTTTGACTAGAATTTTCATTTCTACATGAGTTCTAGGGTTGTAGTTTACAATAGGCCTATGTAAGCAAGTTTAATCATGCGCCGAAGCTAACGTTAATGACTTAATCTCATTGTTCCAGCTCCTTGGCTCGGCACAAGAAAAGTTCGACGTGTGAACCAGGTCTTCGTACTTACTTATGTTTTACACTGTAATCTCGTTTCTATTTCGTTTGCTGCAACGTTGACAAAAATCATCCGCGTCATCACTTTTACAACCAAGCAAATCGTAAAGAAATCCTTTCTTTCGACAGCAAAGCGTAAAGTCCATAATCAATATAGTAAATAGTACCAACGACAGTAGAAAGGCGGCGAGGATAACTTTGCCTGAAGCAATGTAAACTAGAATCTCATAATTTGGCTCTAAACAGAAACATAATAATTCATGTTAATTATCAATTCTCTATTGCGTAAATTCTGATACCCTCTATATCAATCCCCCCGTCCAATAAGCCCCCCTCCCTATTGAGCATCTTCTCTAATACGTCCCCTCCTTATTAAGTTCCCTCTCTAATAAGCTTCTCTCTCTACTCTAATACGCCTTCTGGCCAATATGATCCGCTTCTCTTAAGCTTCCTCGACCCCGCCCGCATAACCGAAAAACGTATTTCTAATGATTAGATTTATAAATTGTCCTGGAAGTTCAATTTGTTAAAGATGATCAATCTGAACGAACTTGAGCAAAGAAAATAAAGATCGTCTGAACGTTTACCTGTGTACAAATACAGCAAACAAGAGATTCATTCGTCAAGATGGATTCTGCCCTACCTATTAAGTTTCCTCTCTAACACGCTTCTCTCTCTAATGAACCCACTCTATTATGCCCCTTCCCTAATACGCCATCTGACCAATCGTCTGGGTTGGTAACAGCGACGATTGTCTTAACAAGTGATTGGTGTGTTTGTCTGGAGTTAAATTATCAGACGAACTATCTTTTCTTCCCCGAAAATCATCGGGATGGATAATTCATGTCTAGTACAAACCAGACCCTTGATTTCTTACCTTGATCAATTGAGTTTCCAACTGGAGCTTCTGAGGATGAGCTTTTGAGCTTCTGAGGATGACTTTTACCTTGCTGTTGTGTTTTAGCTCCGTCATAAGCCTTGCATAAAATATCATTTGTAAGCGGGACACCAACGGAACTACCGGACAGCATGGAAGTTTGCTTGTTAGACGTTTCGTTTTTTACCACTACGCAGCCAGGTAAGCACTGTTGGTACGCCAGATATTTATATGGTAAGACAACGTTAAAATGTTTTGGATGGAGTTTGTATCTTGGTTGCGTGATGTTGCAAACGTTACACAAACGTATCAGATTGACTGGATTTTTCGAAAACTTCGCTTTGAAATAAGCCTCTGACACTGCAAGAAAAATTCATACAGATTAAAGTTACGATGTAAAAATCACCTTTCCTTGCAGCTGAGACCTGAATTACGTGAAACGTCACTGAGTCGAAGGCTGACCAATAGTGTAAGTTGGACTAACCTTCGTTATTAGCTATGGTTTTATACAGTCTACCATTCCCGTACTTTAAGTTCCCACATTGACAAGACGTGTGATTATGAACGACATATTTATAAAACTTCTTTTTATCGCTAGAATCTTTGTTCGTTATATCCGGAACCACTATCTCGATTTCGTCCGTTCTTTTTGGAACTGGGTACGTAGACGGTCCACTGCTAGAGCATTCGCCAAAGTCAAGTTTAACACAGCGATAAACTTCGATGAAATATTGAGGTGTGGATAGCGGGGTGGCAAAGTCATCATTGTATATTGAAACGACTTCTCTTTGTGGTCCTAAAACAAAAGAATCCGGTATTTGAGTAAACTACATAAATATTTCTTTATTTTTAAAAAAAATATATGTGAAAAGAACCAAAGTTTCGAATTACCTGTTATTTCCGGACTAGATTCCACAACTGCTGACATGCTGAACAATAGCAAAATGTTCAGCCCAATGTGTTTCAAGTTTAAAATCTTGATATCTAAAGGACGTGAAAGAAAAAAATGATTTCACTATATATATATATATATATATATATATATATATATATATATATATATATATATATATATATATATATATATATATATATATATATATATATATATTACAACAAAGAGATGGCTACGTATCGAAGAATTTATTAAAGATGACTAAAGTAAAGTATACAAATAAATTTTCGGCCACTTGACACGGCCTTCCTCAGAAGAAGGAAGGCCGTGTCAAGTGGCCGAAAATTTATTTGTATACTTTACTTTAGTCATCTTTAATAAATTCTTCGATACGTAGCCATCTCTTTGTTGTAATATTATGTGCTGTTGGCTAAGGCAAGTTTTGCTCATTGTCGTATATATATATATATATAAATATATATATATATATATATATATATATATATATATATATATATATATATATATATATATATATATATATATATATATATATATATATATATATATATATATATATATCAAGAGCCAGCCCCAAAAAATCTTCATTTATAAATATCAAAAAATCATAAATCTTCAAAGTAAATAAATTATATTTTTACGTTTCGGGGACAAGCCCCTTCTTCAGAATAACGCTACATCATCTCCGTCTCTTACTTAAATAGTCTAACGTTTAGCTATGCATAAATTAATTAAACCTCTTCCCTTAAATTAAGCCCACGTGGGACATAACTATTTAGTTTCTCAATGGGGCTTGTCCCCGAAACTCAAAGGGCCTTTCTCAAAGGGGCTTGTCCCCGAAACGTAAAAATATAATTTATTTACTTTGAAGATTTATGATTTTTTGATATTTATATATATATATATATATATATATATATATATATATATATATATATATATATATATATATATATATATATATACAGCTAATTCAAAAAAGGTTGTCCTTTGAAACCTTAAACTCTAAAACCTTAAACCTTAAACTCTAAACGTGCAAAGCATAATGGGAGCAAAATTTAAGCAGTTTAGAAAGCATATATAGAGCCCATTTTTTGGAGACATGATAAAAATCTCCGTGCAAAAATATTTCACTGGCAAACAGCTTCAATAATCAACAATTAAGCTTGAAATCAGTGCCCCCATCATGCTTTGCGCGCTTAGAGTTTAAGGTTTAAAGTTTTAAGGTTTAAGGTTTGCAAAGGACAACCTTTATTGATTTAGCTGTATAATCATATTATATATTATATGTTAATCACCGTAGGTAAGTATTTTTTAGTGAACAGGAAAAGTTGGGACTAAGTCGGATTCGAACCGGCGACCTCTGGGTTACAAGCCCATCGCTCCAACAACTACATATTATTCTACTATATATTATTCTACTATATATTATACTATATATATCCAAAAATTTTCACACTCCTTCAATTTGTTCAGATGTTGATCAATCAAAATATAGTGAGTGAGTGATCAGCACCGTGACAATCAATGAAGTGTTTAACATATACAATACTACATGTTCTCTTATTATGCATGAATGCTTTATATGAGACTTATATAATTGGCAAGTCGAGTCTTAATAAAATTAACAGTAGAACCCACTCCTTGCAAATTACAAGCCAACCTCGTACCCAAGGCATTTTGCTTCCGCCACACAGCTGCAAGACAAACAACATGACTGGTAGTACAAGTAAGAGATACAAATTCTTACAACGTTAACAATCACACCGTTTAGCCTGACACTCAAAACACCCTAGCTATAGTAGCCTACTATAGTTCGAGATCGATCTTTATAATACGAAAATATTACGGATGTCAGCCTGTAGGGATGGGCGATACCAGGATTTTTAATTCGATACCGATACTTTTAAGATCGGTATCAGCCGATACCGATACCTATTTCGATACCAAAATGAACACAAAATTTCAATTTTCGATACCGGAAGCGAGTACTCAAATTGGTAGTATCGCTACTTTCGATACCTCCCGGTCAGCGGAAAAGCATTTCACATTATTGTATTCGACCTCCCCGTCGCCAAAAAAAATTCGGTCAGTGTACCATTTTAGGGGTTAAAAATTTTTTTCGGACATACCAAAATTTTCCGGACATCACCAATTTTCCCCATTTATCAAAAAATGTTTTTCTAAAATCTAAAAATTTTCCATAATTTTCTAAAATTTTTGTCAATCAACCACATTATTTCCAAATTCACACTTATTTTTGTAATAAAGTCTTATTCAACCAAGAAGTGAAATTAAACAAGTCATTTAATTAAAAAGGGTGCAAGAAGTATCGAACGATTAGGATACCACGTCAGTGATCGATACCGATACTGCTGTTTGTGGTATCGCTGGTATCGAATACTGAGTATTCGGTATCGCCCATCACTAATGTCAGGTCCTCTGAGATTATATTTACCCGAAAAAATGCACAAAGTTCTATTTGTTTCTTGCTCTTGCGTAGTCATAGATGCAACTTCCGCAATTTTAATTCAAATATGCTGCTTATCATGCCGACAAGCTATCAAATAATTAGCATATTCTTCACTCTTATTTAATACGGAAATTCTCATCTTCGGAACATATCCTGCAAATCCTTAAATTAAAGTGCTTATGTCACAAAGTTAATTAATAGGTACTTTAACATTTTTCGGTTTTCTCTTTTCATTCGCGAGATATGCGGCTCTAACGCCTGTATTCTAAAAGCTCACTCACACTCACACTCAATGAGTGGAGGTTCAATCTAAGCTTCTCTTGAGTGTTGTTGCTGTTTTTGAATAGCTGGAGGGTGAGCAGTCACATAGTAAGGTATGGCACTACCCCTCCAGCTATTCAAAAACTGCATTGACGCTCAAGAGAAGCTCAGATTGAACCTCCACTCATTGAGTGTGAGTGTGAGTGTGAGTGAGCTTTTAGAATACGGGCGTAAATCTTGAAAAATTGGCTTTTAGCGAAAAATTGTCGCGCCCGAGAAAAAACCGAAAGCGACAGCCGTGTGATCATGATGTAGCTTAATTAAGGGACGGAAGTTCGAATTCACATGTGAAGGAGACTAAAAAGCTATTGGGAAGACATATGTTTTCCAGCACTCATGGTTCTCAATGTGACTCAGAATACAATTATATTCCTGAGTATATTATAGAGGATGAATCAAATGATACTAGTCACGAAATTGGAACTCTAGAAGCAGTTGATAGTGAAATTTTAGGCGATTATGATCTATGCTTTTATGCCGGTGATCTGCTAGCGAGCTTGAAGAATGATACGCGCGATATCTAAAAAGTATGCGGAACACAAGGAACAAAACGAGATGCTATTTTTTCAGCGAAGATAGGCGGCCTTGAATATATTAAATTATGGTGAGTGTAATCATAGATTTATATTAACATTTTAACGTAAAATAAGTATCTCTCAGAGATAAAACGTTAAAATGTTAAAATAAATCTATGTTTACACTCACCATAATTTAATATATTCAAGCTCGTCTATCTTCGCTGTATAGCATCTCGTTTTGTAAATCTCTGGCTAATATATTTTGCGGGATACGGGCTCATACGGCATCAGTCACATCAAGGAGTTAAAACCACACTTCCCTCACCTTCGCAAAAAATAGAAGACACGCGATCAAAGAAAATATATAACAGACTGGTTCAGAGCAAATTACGGATGTATTCTTGTTTGAAGCTACAGTGTTTATTTGCATGTAGTCACGTTTATTTAATACGAACGATTGTATTTTTTCGCAAGTTTTCTTAGAGCACATTCTTCCAAACAAATAGGTCTGAATCCCGAGTGTAGAGTGATACAGCACGGCGGCTGTGGCACATTTTCTAAAACCAACTAGAACTTCTCTACAAGATACCATCTTAGGCATCTCCTTACAGCTCCAAGCTTCGTGTGTATTTTTTTTATGTATTATCACACAATCGTCGCCTTTACACTTGTGAAATGGTTTGATGTGACTGATCCCATATCAAAAATATATCAGCCAGAGATACTTATTTTACGTTGAAATGTTAAATAAATCTATGTTTACGCTCACTATGATTTAATATCTTCAAGGCCGTCTAATCTTCGTTGTAGCATCTCGTTTTGTTCCTTGTGTTCCGCATACCATTCGCGCATGCTAGATATCGCGCGTACCATTCTTGGCTCGCATATCGGTATAAAGGCAATATGCATCATAATCGCCTGAAATTTCGCTATCAACTGCTTCTAGAGTTCCAATTTCGTGACTGGTATCATTTGATTTATCCTCTATAATATACCCAGGAGTATTCTGAGTCACATTGAGAACCATGAGTGATGGAAAACATACAAAATATAAAGAAATGTATAATGCCCGTCGTGATTAAGTTCCTTAAGCTACGTCACACCAGGCTCGTCCCAGACTCTTGTTGATACGCGAAATTTTTACGAAAATCGCTGTTTGGAGCCTCGTATCTCGTGAATGAAAAGAGAAAACCGAAAAATGTTAAAGAACCTATTAACTAACTTTTTGTCGGCTACTCAAATTTTGTGACAGAAGCACTTTAAAGCTATTCTCTTAGCTATTCCCAATATCTGCGATTTAGGATGACACAATTCAGCGTCTAAGTACAGATGCGCATCAGTGGGTTTACTGTATGTACACTGATGTGACTAATGAATAGACCTTTCCCCTTATAGCGATGCCCGCTAAGCATGACGGTAGGAGGCTGAAGTTTGTTTCCAAAGAAATGGCGGCTGTAAGAGTGAAATATTTTGTTTTGACGATACAATGACAGATTTTAACAACTTTTAACAAAATTATTACCTTTATCTTGCATTCTAATAATCCAGTCTTGGTCTTCCACTGATACTGATCGAAACTCAGTTAATGCTTTCCTTCTTCTGAAGTTAGGTTATTTTCAATATCCTTATATCTTGTTTGTTCAAATAAATCTTTTTTCCACTTTATTCAAAAATACTTTAATAGCTGGTATACTAGCAGT